TGCTTGAAGATCCATGCCAGTTGCTTGCAGTAGTCTTAGAATCATGTTTTCATATCTTTGTTTTTGCATAGTACGCTAGTCACTCGCCCTTTTTGGAGAGTATTACGTAGGAAGTCAAAATCATGAAGACTTCATGCATAATATTGTCATATACTAATCATATAATGTGCATGATAGAGTACAACACTGTTATACAAGGAGTTCGCATGCAGACTCGCCACGTAATAATTTTCCCCTTTTTGACATATTATGCACACTCATAACATAATTTATTTTATTATAATGTGTGTTTATGGGTACATGTCCAATGCCTCAATAACCATCTTGTTTGTTATTAATGTTATATGGCGCCATACATGTACTTTGCATAGGAAGTATATAAATTGTATTTTCCATGCATCCAATGAGTTATTATTATTATTATTATTATTATTATTATTATTATTATTATGGGAAGTCAGTATAAGTAGTATTTAAAAGATTAGTTAAAAAAATATTATCAGTGTAGATGTAAAAAAATGGACATTATATACATACAAGCCAACGGCTCATTCGCTAAGTTAACGAACTGAACACGAATTAAGATTTGTTCGTTCGTGTTCGGCTTGTTTTGGCTCGAAAATTATTAATCAATTATATATATATATATATTTATTTGAGGAGTAGTATTTTTAAAAAAATTAATTGACTATAAAACTACAAAGATTTATAATCAATTAATACATGTCTTAATACTTTTTTTTTACATCTATCCCACTGAAATATTATAAATTACATAAAAAAATATTACTATTTTAACTTAAAAAAAGTGAATTGCACCTTTTTTTTCATGCATAACTAATGTGGCATGTATGTAAAAGTTGAAGTTTGGATATGTAAATACATAGTAATTAAATGGTTTGTTTGTAAATATTAGAAAACAAAATTAATTTGCACAAATGGACACCTGAAGAGCTCATCACAGTAAAAGATTTAGATTAAAAAGACTTTTTTGGAGAACTTAACATTAAATTTTAGATGCGGCTTAAAAATTGACTTAATATTGGACTTATTTGACATTTCTTCAATAAAATAATAATGGGTGAGAATATCTTAATTAAAATATAGTGAGGGTGACTTTTAATGTTCTTATTTTTTATACAAGAAATAAAATCAATAATTTATTTATATAATATAATCATTTTAATATATATATATATATATATATGTGTGTGTGTGTGTGTGTGTGTGTGTTCTATTAAATGTGATCTCCCTCCTCACCCTCCCAAACCAAGTTTATCCACGGAAAGAAAGCTATAGAGGTTTATCCAAAAGAAACTCTAGAGCCATTTGTCCCTTCCCCAACAAAACTACACAAGGCCTCCTATGCCCCACGCCACATCTTTTCATGGAAAGCTTAATAAATTAAAAGACTTGTGAGGCCAATCATGCACATTTGGTAGAGGTGGCATGAATTATGTCTCTATCTTGTAGGGATGCATCATCACGTGTCATGCATGTTTTTCATGCACTTTTTATAAATTATTTAGAATATTAATTTTGTTTGGCTGTTAGCTTGATAAGGAGAGCATTGATTTATTATTATTATTATTATTATTATTATTATTATTATTATTATTATTATTATTATTATTATTATTATTATTATTATTATTATTATTATTATTATTATTATTATTATTAGGATTAGGATTTTATTAGGATTAGGATTGAGGATCACATCAAAAGACATGATAATTGAGATCTTTCTCAATTAATCAAGTTGTTATGTTTGGTATTTCTAGTTTTTAAGGATGTGATGATAATTTCTCTTAATTTAATATTTCTACATCAAAATTTTCAATTGGAAAAAAATAATGAATTGATTATCATTAAATATTTTTTACCTACTGATTATGTATTTAGAGAAAATAAAGGTAATTTAAAAAATTGAGAAATTAAGCCCCTCATGAGGATTGGAGCACAATGAGAGAGCTAGTTAAACCATATTAAAAATCAAATAAGGAAAATAAACTTTATTGAATTTCTTAAAATAGTTTTAATTAACTGAAAACACTTTTAAAAGGCCTTATATTTCTAAATATTTTCTAAATAAAATTTTAAACTCCTTACTTTAGTTTACTAAACTATACAATCTTAATGATAACTTTATGAGATAATATAAATATAAGAAAATTTATGTAAAATCTAAAAAAAATTTGAAAACATGATTTCGTTTATAACATAAAGGTTTCTCTTTTAGATATCTGATGAACAATATTTCTTACTTAAATCATTGATGTATAGTAAAAAAATATTTTTTTATATAGATGAAATAAAATTAGACAACCCCAAAAAAGAATTAATCCCATTTAATCTGAATTACACATGCAGTAATTTTTATCATTCAATTCATAATCAAATAACTAATATTGGAAATAAAATTAGACAACCCCAAAAAAGAATTAATCTCATTTAATCTGAATTACACATGCAGTATTTTTTATCATTCAATTCATAATCAAATAATTAATATTCTCATTTATCCCCATTTTTTCATCAGAACGAACGATGTAATATACATCACTGCTGGTGGAGCACACTGATGTCCACTTGGAATTCAACCAAATTCTATGTTCTCAGCTCTCAAATCAAGATAGTTGATTTTAGAGAATTTAGACATCTAAAAATACTGAAACAACTTAAAAAAGTATGACGTAACATCCTGAAATTTGCTGAAAAATGATATGATGTGACAATATCGTATAACATATAATGTTTCACCACTTACTAGTGCCCCATATCTTTTATAGCATATTATATGTCTTCTAACATTAAACTTCATAATGGACTGGTTTAGAGGTTGTGGAGGTGCCAAACAAGATCCCACGAGCTGATGATGTCTGTTTTTAAAGTGCAACCTCATTTTTTGAACTGCAACGGTGGACTATATATCACTTTGGGGCAGCACACCAGCGTATGTTTAGAATTTGAACAAATTCTATCATCTTGCTCCTCAAATCAAAACTAATAACCTTAGAGGTTTCATGCATCTTGACATGACCAAAACAACATGCAAATGCATGATGTGATGCTCTTAAATTTACCATAAATGATATGAAGTGTCATAATATCATACAACATGTTTTGATGTATCAAGTTCAAACATCTCATATTTTTGTATTGCATAATATTACATAAATCTGACATTACACATCATAACAGGCCGACCTAGGGGCTGTGGAGGCTCAATAAATGACTTCACGGGCTAACAATTTTAATTTTTTTACGTGTAACCCTATTTTTTAAACTAAAACAGTGGATTATACATCGTTGTTGGAATTTGGCTAAATTCTATCATCTCAGTCCTCAAATCAAGATTGATAATTTAGGATATTCATACATCATGACAAAGTGAAACAACATAAAAATGCATGATGTAACGTTCCAAAAATTCCTAAAAAAATCTATGATGTGTTACAACATCATATAAAATATCTTGTTACATCAATTTTTCATGCCTCATATTTTTGTATCGCATAACATTGCATGTTCTCTAACATTTGGAGGCACCAAAAATGTCCCCATGGGTCAACGGTGCTCATTTTTTAGATTCAACCCCATTTTTTAAACTGAAATAGTGGACTATGCATCAACACTGAGACAACGCGCCAACACCTATTTAAAATTTGGTCAAATTTCATCATCTCGGCACTTAAATAAAAACTTTGATGATTTTATGATTTTTTCGCAT